TTAAACCCCATCATTCCTCGCCGTCTGATCCTTCATTCCACAATTCCATCCAACCGTCCACTTGTCACAAGGAAAATGATTGTTACCACGATCGAGAAATTATTGAATAAGACTGTTCTAATCTAAACGAGGGTTCGTTGAATAACATGAATTTAAAAATTTGTAAATTATCTAATAATTATGTCGAGTAACTTTTTATTCTTATTTTGTTAAGAATTTATTTAATTATTTTATAAATACTTTTTTAGATCTAAAATCGTGTCTCGACTTATACCAGCGTGTTATTATTACTGCAGGGATTGATCAGTAGTGAGAAACGTGATAGTTTCAACATTCCCGTGTATGCACCTAGTTTGCAAGACTTCAAGGAGGTAGTAGAAGCAGATGGTTCCTTTTCTATAAACAAGCTTGAGGTTTTCAAGGGAGGTAGTCCATTAGTAGTGAACCAGCCCGACGACGCAGCAGAAGTCGGTCGAGCATTAGCCATCAGCTGTCGAAGCGTCTCTGGTGTCCTCGTCGACGCCCATATCGGCGATCGGCTAAGCGAGGAGCTCTTCAGTCGAGTCGAACGTAGAGCCACGAACCATGCTAAAGATCTTCTCGAGAAGCTTCAATTCTTTCACATTGTGGCATCGCTTTCGCTTGCATAAACAAGAGACCAACAACAACCAAAGAACATAAGAACATAGAACAAAACACAGTGCTTTCTTCTCTCTTTTGGTGTTTGTTTGTTTGTTGTGTCTTTTAAGGATGTGATATGTTACATAGGAAAGAACATGAATCAAACAGGCAAAAGAGAGAGGTCAAAGGAGCTGCCCATTTTCTGTCTTTTCTTTTTGTTCATTATAACTTTGTAATGTGATGCTTTGTGAGTCATTTACTGACTTTGTAGCTATAAAAAAAATATGTACTTATAGTTGATGGGCTTTCATCAATGCTAATATGTAAGGGACGAGTATATATCTTAACCGGTTGAGTATAATTGATATAAAATACGTACTAATATAATATTGTTTCGAGTCGTAATGTGTAACGACATATGTTTGAGGGAAAGAAAGTTCAAGTCGTGAGTGTAAAAGCTATTAGCACGGGTTTGTCTCATAACTGGTAGGCATGCAATCTAAGGAAAACCCTAAAAATCATCGTCGCTCGTGTTATTGGCTTATGTGGTAATAGCTATGTCTAATCTTATGTGGTGGCATCGAGCTTCTGTTTAGCTATGATTTCAATTTTTGTTTTAGGGAAAAACTCACTTTGGTGACTGTTTGGCTTCTTTAGCTCGTTTTTATCATATGAACGATTGTCAACTGTTACTGTTTGTATATGTTATGTCGTCGCCGATCACTGTGTCTTATCTGTCAATAGAAGCATCACGATAGGGCTGGTGGTAAGCTCGATCTTTCCCTAATTTTTATTTTGGATTCGGTTCAATTTTGGGTCAATGAATCTAGATTTTTCCATGTTTAGGGGTTTCGTGCTTATTCTATCGCGGTTGAGGGAGGAGAAATTTCATAGACAACTAAGAGAGGAGGAGGAGCGTTTATGAATTGAGTAATTGCCACCAAAAATCGCACTACGAACCGCCCAATACTTCTACTATAAAGATGAAGAGTTCATTCTGTTTAATGATTTTGGGGGCAATTAACTCTCTGTGTGCATGAGATTTTTACCACATTTTCGTGATATTGTCGTGTCAATCACTTATTTGTGTGCATGGGGATTGTACCATTGTGTTGTGATTGTCATTTGTGGCCGTTGAGCTTTTGAATGCACGAGAGTTGACCAATTTTGACCAGCTATGTTACGAATGTATGCATGTCTAACTCCAACAGAGATTATTTGGTAAGTATTTTCAAGACTCGACCTTTCTAAAAGAAATTTCGGATAAAGGCAAAGACCCACAATTTTTAATATGTCCCGTGATTTGGGTAGTTGTAATTTAGCTATTTTTTCAATTACTACCGTTTTTACGGTTATTTCTTCGATTGACTCAAAGATTTGCAAGACTGGAAAGGTCGAGATGGTTGAGATACTAGAAAATGGTACAACGTTTATAGCAACTTTTACGACAAGTTTAGAAACATTAAACTCATATCGAGCATGTGGGTCCTACCAAATAAGGATATGGAATAAGATTGCTTAGATTTTACAAAGAATATGAATGGAACTCTCCACTTTAGAATCTAAAAATTTGAGGAATCAAAAATAGAAACTTTTTTAAATTGAAAGATAATACAAAATATTTTCGATATATTTAAGAAATGAATCGAAAGTACCAAAATGCCCTTAATTTTTCAGGTTATTTACAAGTATGGTATTCACAGTAAGTTAAAATACGGTGTCGTTTTGTTGTTATGACGGTTGTATACGAGTGGAAGCTTCACGGACTCGGTGCTGAAGAAGATTTTTTTGGGGCTTCAACTTCAATGGAGGGAATCGGATCCAGATTGGGCCGAGCCTCGTCGCGGTACGGTCCGGCGGCCACCGTCTTCAACGGCCCCGTCCGGAGGTGGAAGAAGAAGTGGGTGCTGGCATCTTCATCTTCCTCCGGCGTCAATTACCAGACTTCTTCTCAGTCCCAATCCAACGCGCATAAGCTTCTTCTCTGTCGCTGGACTCCGATTCATCCGTCTACTTCATCGGAAGCGGACGGAGCTGCCGCGCCGCCTGAAGAGCCTCCTAGACGGAAGTTCCGTTACACTCCTGTAAGTTTGAAGCTCTATTTGAATCCATTTTCATGTCCGGTTGATGCTGTGTGTTCGGTGAGCGAGCGATTGCGATTCCGTTTGAAATTCTTCGTTAATCTCGTCTATCGTTGATTTTTTATGGATGATGCAGTGATTTTTGATTTCTAGTTACCGATTTTAGTATGCGCTTACTTTTGGCAACGATTAATGAAAGAATGTGGTTTCTGTTCATTTGTGTCTTGATTATGAGTGAGTATAGGTCATCTCGTACTCTGTTCATATTGTTTCCTGTTCTTCTTGATTAGGATTTAAAACTCCGAGCAAACAATGTGTGTTGGTTGTGATGTGCAGATTGCTGTGCTGGAGGAGCAGAAAAATGCAGGATTGAGGAGTGTCAAAGATGAAGTTAGAGTGAAAGAAACGGACCAGTCGGCGTCGAAGATGGCAACTGTGGGCAATGAGGCTCAGGGAGAGCTAAATGTCAATGAGGTTTTCAAGGAAGAAACTCAGGTGACTGACTGATTTCAACCTGATTTATTTAACTTGTCGTTATAGAACATAACTCAACTAATTTAGACATATACGAAGGTTAGATGATCATTGTGCTAAAGAAAGTGATTTGTGGTTATGTTGATGAGTTTTTGGCTGGATTAGATCATTCATATTGGATTCCAAAAAATTAAGAAGCACTAAACTAAGTGTGTCCATAAACACGTATTGAACTTTGTGCTCGTTGAACACTTAAGTACGATAAATAGACACATAATTTTATAAAAACAAAAATGGTATTGAAATGCATCAAACTCATTTTTATAAGCATATAGATGCATAAACTAGTTCTTGGGTATATTTTAATAAACATGTTTTTGTCATGTCCATGTCCTAGGTTTTGTTCAACATGAGCATAGATCAACGAAATTTAACATGTACTCCTTTCTTTGAGGTTGGAGATTCGGATCTCCATCGTCGTTCTAAAAAATGCTAAACAAAATGAAAAGGAAAACTTGAGTGGTTCTGTTTTTTTCGTTATAAAACTGGGTTTCTCTGTATAGTTCTGGATTCAGGAAACCAGGAAGAATGGAAGTCATCTTTACTAGTGGGGCACACTGAGGGACAAGTTCCAATTCACATACTCATGAACTGTGGCATAGTTTACCAGATTAACATACTCATAGAAAATGTAGCTATTTGATGAACTTGAATGGTAGATCTTCTCAAGAACTTGATGAACTTGATGAATCATTCCCTTTGCAGGAAACAAGCAAGATTCTGAACAGCCCACGGGATGGAGACAGGAACAATTTAGATTTGGCTTTGTGCTTGAATGGTCAGAACCCGAAACAAGATTCTGCCGGTAAGAGCTCTTAAAGTCTGTAAACGGGACCGAGCTGAAACCGGGTTTACCCTATGGACAATGATATAGCAGAAGAAGTAAGTCTCTTATGAAATTAGTATCTCATGCAGTAGTAACTTGGAAGCATAGTATGTTATAGTGACTGTTTGTAATATGATCTTAGGGTTAGTGGGGGATGGATCAGTATATAATCTAGGACGACTTTCTGAGAATTTGCTTGTTGTGGAAAGTGTATTTATTCTTCCTGAATAATTATGTGCAATCAGAATGCTTTGGGAAAAACAAGCCCTTTCAAAATGTTCATATAGATATTTGTGGTGGTCAAAACTGATGTTGCTAGAGGCATTTGTGGACTTAGAAGAGTAAGCGAAGCTGCCTGGTCTCTCTTCCTAGGATGAAAAGCTTAGAAGAAATGTGTAAATCGAAATCCTCATGCACACTTGGTCTACCCTTGCCAGAAACGCTCAAAGAGCAAGGGTGTAACAGTCCAAGCTCACTGCAAGTAGATATTGTCCTTTTTGGTTTTTCCCTTCAGGTTTTAAAACGTGTTTACTAAGGAGAAGTTTTCACACCTTTAAGGAATGCTATGTTCCCCTCCCAACTGATGTGGGATCTCACAAGGGGTTTTGATTCCATCTCGAGATGGTCGCACTAGCTAGATACCCTCGTGCACCATCATTAATCCGTGTTTTTGGCTTCCAAGTTTTTGGCTTAAACATGAAGGTTGCTTGTAACAATGTCTTAAGCACCACATATGGTGGGTATTGGGTAGGTATACGAATAACTCAATGCTATTCTTTTAAAAAGAAAAATAAGTTCTAATTCAATCGGAAAGATAGAATCGTTTTTTGCACCTCAAACAGCATTTCCTGTGAAACATGAGAATTTGAAGAATCCAATGACATCCGGAACCATGTTCTTGTTCTTGTTTTTGGGAGCCTTCCATAGCAGCCTCAGTATCTTTAGACATTAATCCGTCGGATTATCTTCCTCTGCTTGAGTCACACCAACCTCGGCTGGCCGAAGAACTCGATCATGTAGCATATATCCAGACTATCATAAAAAAAAACGAGAAAATCACATCTCTCCACAACCAATTCAGTGTCGTCCATCAAATCAAACTCCTAAACTAATCAGTGATGATCTCATGTTCTTCAAAGAAGTTGAAACCAAATATTTGTTATAATGCATTAACATGGCTGTTCCTAAATTTGTTTATAGCTTAGTCTAAAAGACAGTTCCTTTCCAGTTCGATCAAATGAATTTTGCTTGGCATATGAACTAAGATGCGTTTGTTCTTGTGAGAATAAGCAGAATAACAAATTGGAACTAGTACCTTCAGCACAACAGCCACAGTGCCGTCTGGCTTCGATCCATCCGGTATTTGGAATACAGCATAATGCTTATGCGGATCAAATGGCTCGCTCATAGGGTCAAATTTTTCGACCCCGACTTCTTAATACCTGAAGAACAAGTGTCTTAAGCATTAGAACAATAGAGTAAACTTGTGGCCTTCCTCTTGAAATGTTGAATAGCTCATGATAATTATGCATATAAATTTACCTCCATAAGCTGTTTCTCAGTCATATCAACCCCTTCTAAAAGGGTTTTTAGAAGAGCTACGGCTCCACTTGGATCTTCAGATTCATTAATTTTTGAGAAACTGTCTTTAACAACAGAAGAAGCTCTTCCTAAGTTGTCAGCAACATCAAGCAAACTCTGCAAAATTCTGTCAACCATATGCTAACACACATAAGCTCGTGTTTAAGCAAACCGAGTACCGGGAGGAAACCCGACATAAAATTTATAGCATTAAGAGAATGACATTCAAGAAACCTGAATGGCAAACTTCTTTGAATTCTCTGCTTCACGTTTTGTCCTGTCCATAACATTCTCCATTTCTGCATAAGAACAGAGGACTTTCTCTTGCATTTTCTCAATCTCTTTGTGCTTAGACTTCAGAAGCTCTTCCTTTCGCGCCAGTGATTTTACTAGATCATCCATGGAAGGTTGTTCGTCGCTCTCAGAATCCGAATCGGAAAATGCAGTTCTTATTGTCCGCCTTCTCTGTCGTCTTGATTTTGATTTGGTGGAATGGGAATCCATTGTAGAACTCAATTCCTCTGCTTGGTCAGACACTTCAGAATTCACATTACCTTGTTTTGCACTCCCCTCTTCATTTTCAGAAGATTCATGGGAAGCAGTAGAGGATACTCTAAATATTTGGAAGGGGAAAGGATTGAAGACTATATGATTTAGTAGAGACGTATGTACTGGAGAAGACTGGAAGAGGAAGCATATTAATCAGTGACAGGAAAAACAACTTTGAATTATAACATTGGCAAGCAAAAACTCATCAAAAGTACCAAATCTAAGAACAAGGCAGGTTAAGATATGATGAGAAATGCAAAATCATGTTAAATAAACAATGCTACATCAACAGCAATCAAGAAAAACTCACAAGTTCATTGTTCGTTCGTATCCAGATGAAATCACCTTTCGATTTTTCAATTTAGTTACGAAAACTCTGTACTTTTCAAACCAGATTGAATAGAAATCAAAGATCTCACAAAGAGTAATGAGAGCATGAAACTAAAGATTGCGCAATCGCAAGCGAAACAGTAAGATTTCAGAATGGAACGGTGCCTATTCAATGGTGACAAAAACCCTAACTAAAACCCGAGAGGAGAGAACCTTGAAAACACGGCTTAAGAACCTCAACCTTGCCGGAGATCTCATCAACGAGACAGTGAAATTGCCTGTAGAGAATCGGAAAAGTTCGGCAGTTCCGTGATTGGTTGCCAATGAGGATCGGCGAACTCCGGTGCAGGCTCCTGGAAGCTCGGAAGAGGATTCTCGAGGAGGACATTGAGGAGAAGAAGTTGAATACCGGAACGGTGAAATGGAAAACGAAGTCAAATGCTTCAAAATTGCAGAGATGCAACGGCGGAAGTTCCGACCAGAGGAGAAAAATCTTGGTAATGAAGGCGGCAGGTCGGAGAAAAGGTTACCGGTGATTTTGGACTTCACATATTTATCCTCCACCTATTGAAGCCGGTTGTGGGGTGAAATTTAAGATTTAAATCTTTTGATCAGTGCTAGACAATCATTATTCCGCCTCCACCTCCTCTTACGTACTAAAATATTAGGGTTGGTCGGCCCTCGAATAGGCTTCTTTTGTTCTAGGAAGGCACGAGCGGGCTTCTTTTGTTTTAGAGAGGTAAAGTCGTAGGCTACCCTCGAATAGACTCCTTTTGTTTTAGGGAGACACAAGCAGACTCCTTTTGTTTTAGGGAGGCAAAGTCGTAGGCTACCCTCGAACAGACTCCTCTTATATTAGGGAGGCACGAGCTCACTCCTTTTGTTTTAGGGAGGCAAAGTCGTAGGCTACCCTCGAACGTGCTCCTTTTGTTTTAGGGAGGCACGGGCGGACTCTTTTTTGTTTTAGGGAGGCAAAGTCGTAGGCTACCCTCGGACAAGCTCCTTTTGTTTTAGGGAGACACATGGGGGCTCGTTTTGTTTTTGGGAGGCAAAGTCGTAGGCTACCCTCGAACAGACTCCTCTTGTATTAGGGAGGCACGAGCTGGCTCCTTTTGTTTTAGGGAGGCAAAGTCGTAGGCTACCCTTGAACATGCTCCTTTTGTTTTAGGGAGGCACGGGCGGACTCTTTTTGTTTTAGGGAGGCAAAGTCGTAGGCTACCCTCGGACAAGCTCCTTTTGTTTTAGGGAGACACAAGCGGGCTCCTTTTGTTTTTGGGAGGCAAAGTTGTAGGCTACCCTCGAATAGACTCCTCTTGTTTTAGGGAGGTACGAGCGGGCTCCTTTTGTTTTAGAGAGACAAAGTCGTAGGCTACCTTTGAACAAGGTCCTTTTGTTTTAGGGAGATGCAAGCGGGCTCTTTTTGTTTTAGGGAGGCAAAGTCATAGGCTACCCTCGAACAGAGTCCTCTTGTTTTAGGGAGGCACGAGTGGGCTCCTTTTGTTTTAGGGAGGCAAAGTCGTAGGCTACCCTCGAACGAACTCCTTTTGTTTTAGGGAGGCATGAGCAAACTCCTTTTGTTTTAGGGAGGGAAAGTCATAGGCTACCCTCGAACAGACTCCTTTTGTTTTAGGGAGGGAAAGTCGTAGGCTACCCTCGAATAGGCTCCTTTTATTTTAGGGAGGCAAAGTCGTAGGCTACCCTCAAACAGACTCCTTTTGTTTTAGGGAGGCACGAGCTCCTTTTATTTTAGGGAGGCAAAGTCGTAGGCTAAAATTTATTATACTTTTGCTTTGACTTTGAAAGAACGTGAGCTTATCTTTTGAGTTGTTTTACTCGAGGAGTACCCTGGAAAATCAGGGTTATTTTAGCGTTTATCTCAATTTTGGACTGAAATATCAAATGTTTGAATCTCAATTTAGTGAAATTCCAATAACTTCGGTGAACCTGCACCCAGCAACACCGCCTCCACTGGGATCGGTGGTCACGACACAACCCAAAAATTGACATGTCGTTTGGGTTATTGCTTCTGATGGCCTCGAGAAATAGCCAAGTTAGAAAATGACTATAGTTTCCAATTTGGAAATACCAATTATTTATGAAAATCAATCTAGAGATAACGAAAATCTTAAAAATTTTCTTACTCAATACAATATACGAGTGGTTAATCTTATATCAGCGTAGAAATTAGGTTCTCAAGCGAGAATCGAACCACCAAATTGCTAATATGAACATATCGGAGTGAATAAAGCACCAATTACCATTCCAAAGGTCGGTGGTTCCATCTCGGCTTTCAAATTATTGCATTTATATGGTTTTAACAAGAACAAAACTGTATAGATGGGTTTAAAAACCTAAGGATTTCTCTCTAAGTCATGCTTGAGCAATTCCCTTTTTCACAACCATCTCATAAACTCTATCTACCTTACTTGGATCCACCTTGAACAGACCATGGACATCAGATTTCTTTGTAACACTGCCCTTTAACATCTCAACTGATATGATATCCACCATTTTCAGATAATGAGCTGGTAATATTCTTATCTCACAGCAAAGTCGCCTCTCCTACACGAAGACATCGAAAAACGATTAAACATAGCGTCGACAAATGGTTTATCACAGCAATGTCATAGTCAAGGAGAGAACCAATGTCCAGCCGGAGAAATATGGAAGACAGGAGAAAATGTTCTCACCATTTCAGATAGTAAATCAGCGCCTGCAAATCCCGTGATGTCCCAATCGTGAATGGAGCTCGAAATCCATGGTGTTGCTGGAGATGGTTCCTTGCCGCTGCCTCGCGATCTTGGAGATTCTTTTACACTGCCCCTGGGATTGTCATCATGTTCTCCTTTGAGATGATTTGATACATCACTTGGAACAGCTTGACTATTTTCCTTAACTCTCTTGCTGCTGTCTCTGGTTTCTTTCCTTTTCTGATCAAGAAACCTATTTGATTCGACAATTGTTCGACATCCAGCAGCTCGAGCTTCCTATACTTACAAGATGTATACTAAATTAGTCCAATCGAGATTTCCTGAAATATGATGATCATGCCAAGTAGTCTGAAATAAGAAATTCTAGATTGATGATACTTAATATAAGAGCCCAAACCCACCATCAGTAGATATTGTCCACTCTGGGCCTTCCCTTTAGAAGTTCCCTCAAGATTTTTAAAAAACGTCTAGGGAGAGGTTTCCACCCCTTATAAAGAATGTTTCGTTCTCCTCTCCAACCGATGTGGGATCTCGCAATCCACCCCTTTGGGCCCAGCGCCCTTGCTGGCACTCGTTCCCTTCTCTGATCGATGTGGGACCCTTTAATCCACCCCCTTTGGAGCCCAGCATTCTTGCTGGCACACTGCCTCGTGTCCACCTCCCTTCGAGATTCAGCCTCCTCACTGCCACATCACTCGATGTCTGACTTTGATACCATTTATAATAGCTCAAACCCACCGCTAGCAGATATTGTCCTCTTTGGGCTTTCCCTTTTGGGGTTCCCCTCAAGGTTTTTAAAATGCGTCGGCTAGGGAGAGGTTTCCACACCCTTATAAAGAATGTTTCGTTCTATTCTCCAACCGATGTAGGATCTCAACCTAAACTTAAAATGAGTATGCAGCAACCCAGATAACAACTTATTCTTGCTTGATTTTATTTTGAGGGCAAAAAAACAAGTTTCCATTGAACAAACGAATGAAAATGCAAGGGCATGAGAAAAAAACAAAAGGTCAGGGACTCCAAATCTATACACATATTTGCATGCCCATGTATTTTCAGTTGTATCCTAGCCTGATTATTTCTCCTTCCAGATAGAATTACCAGTCAATTGATAGCACCAAGCAGCCGCATAATTTAAAAGGCAACTAATCAATAACTAAACCTGGAGTTCTTGTATTCTCTTCACAATGCGATGTTCTTCAATTAGATTCTTAAGAAGCTCTTCATGGTCTTCCTTGGAGTGGAACCGCATGAAGACCTTGTAGGGCTGACATATTGCCCTCTCTTCAGGAGACAAATGTTTTTCAAATGGGTCGGAGTAGAGTAGATCTCTGTCCAGTATGAATTCCTTCCTGCGTTTCCTTTCATCAAGCCTGCCAAGAGGTCCAAGTGCATATGAATCTAGATTATTAATAATCAATAAAACAAAGATAGCCAAAATATCTGCATACAGTAGCATAAACTAATTAGAAGAACAATATTAATGCTTTGGACAACAATTGCTTCAGATTAACAAAATAATCACTCTCAAGATAGTAATGATAATCCTAAAGTAGTTTAAGAAGTAATAATAATAATAATTGGAGTATCAAGATTCTCCTCCTGCAAATGACCCACCTGCTGATCTGTATAGAGGCAATGCCCACCTATAGGTCGTAGAAGACAAGGGTTTTTAAATAATCGAGTATTCAAAATGGAGGCTAAACCCGAGATTTTCGAACTTCCTATCCCCTTAATAAAAAAATAATAAAATTCCGAGCAGCAACATAAACACACCATCTAAGATAATGCAAAATTGGTTTTGTCGCACCTCTTTGAGTATATGCGCAAAATCCTCAATTTAAGTTCATGGTCAGCTGCAGAGTCATTGTCCTTGAATTCCATATCTGCTAGTAAATGCTCAGCATCATTGTCATATTCAATGTCGAATTCCTTCCGCTTGAAGTTATATCCACTCAACTCAACCACAGAAGGCCCACTGTCACCTAACACCCTAGGTTTTTTCTCACTAAAGCTTCTGTCTGCTTCAGATTCTGCAAATATTAAAAAAAAAAACAGTGAAGGGGGATAAAAAAACTAACACAGATGCCAGATTTTCCATTGAATTCTTGAAAACCCGAAGATAAGTAACTTTTTTAGAGCTACGAGAAACTTCCAAACATGGTTTACGTGAACTAGCATATCAAGTACCATATAATGTTCATGATCTTGGCAACAAAGGAAGTCACATTGGCTTAAAATTCCATGTGCTTTAAAAAAAATTAATTTAGATGCAAATCAAGTGATGGTGAGAATGTCACAGCAACTAAAGCAGGGAAGCAATGGTTTACAAAATGCAGAAAACAAACCTCCTTGTTTGATTTCATCCTTTATCTGTGGTTTGTTTGACTTCTTTACTGCACCTGAAAATGTGCTACCACTGATTGAACCTACAAACGATTTCATCTATTATAGTATGAAATCGAACATGTTAAAGAAAGCATATTCCTTTTTAGGAACACGTTCATATACGAGAGTGCAGAAAAGAAAACAGTATTTATTAAGCTACCTGCAGTTCCACTTGATGAGGTTTGATGGGCAGAGTCTTCTTTTTTTGATTCCTCACATCTGATAACAGATAAGAATATTTAGAGAGGGAGTAAACGAAGAAAAAAGAGGAACATAAACAGAAATGAAAATGAAAATGGTTATACTTGACTCTTGCTGATAATGAAGACCCTTCATTAAGGTTATGCTCCCCTACCATAGGAAACTCTGCAGTAAATAATACACAAATATGACTCCGTTCGTACTGGAATATTCAAATTTTTAGCTCTCGCAAGAAGTATAATACTGATTGAAATCTGCACCAGATGAAAAAGGATGCATTTCCAACAAATATGCATGCATAGACTACAATTTCAGAAAAAGAAGAGTCCATTGGATGACTGTCCAAATGCAATATCGATAATCACAAAGAAGAAATATGTTAATGGTAGTAGGAAATATAACAATACATATTTTTGTTTGACAAATGAAGTCAACAAACACACTTTTGTCCATGTTTATTCAAAGAAGGCAATTATCTAAAGACACAGGTTCATTAACTTTGACATCTAGGTACTAACCAACAGTGGGAAAGAGATATAATTCATTACCTTTCTTGACCTCACCAGGGACTGTAGCCATGGCAAGGAGCTCCTCCCTGCTCTTACCCTTAACATGCGACAGATCCTAAATAGAGTAGAGAATACTGTTCTCATTTTCAGTTTCAGAAGATTGATTATGTATAGTATAGAAAAAAACAACAAATGTTCAAGTTGATCCAACAGTCTTACAGGAAGAGGGAAGCAAGGGGAGTTCATATACATAGCATTATAGTGATTGAGACACTGCAACTTGCTCTTTGTTCCAACATGCTCTGCAACTCCATCCCAGTTTCCAAATCCATACACAGCAATGCCCTAAATATTCAGTGATTTTGGCCCAAGATCAGAATAACTAGAGTTCAAAATTATGGGGGGAGCAAGATCCCTGATGGGAAAACTTGATCAGAGTATTTCAAGGAACTTCCTATAGATGGTATAGACCACTAATAAGTAAAGAGTTGAGCATTTATTATCAAACATCTTACATATATATATATATAGGCATTTTGACTTGAAGAAACGATAAATAATGAAGTAGTATATGTAATTGGAATTTATGTGATCATAAAATAAAACGATATTACAAATAAGCTCTAAAAGACTACAATGTTCGAGGTGTATTCAGATTGATGACTAGATCATAATCATAAAAGAGGATGACTATTGTGTGGCCTAAATCAATATAAGAAGAGGATGAAGATAGAATAATACTTGTAATGAAGAGAAAAGTTATAATCAGTGCATATTTTGTTAAAACCTTGATTTACATATGCATAAGTGCAAAAAGAATCTAGTAGAAGACCCTCAAGTAATCATCATCATACCTCCAAAAGTAAGCTCTCTTCATCTGCATGCCAATCTGGACATAGAAGAGGAAATGACAAATTATCCTGTCAGAAAAAGTTTTTCCATCTTATGAGTAAATGTGTGTAAACAACCAAATCATTATTTTAAGCAACTCAGATCCACTAATTGAAGGCAACAGTAACGATGGGTATAAATTAAAGAAAACTCTTACAAGGCCATTAAGGTAATAAAAAATGAATAGGTAGTTTTTCAATACGCAAAAAACCAACATCTAAGTGTAGCTAAGTGTAGCTCTAACTTGAAATAATAAAGAAAACAGTTCATTAACAACAATAATGGAACCATTTCAATAAACTTGATCTATTTTATATTGTGCATTGAAAGCAGGGTATTTTTATTGAATACTTGAACTTCCCCACCGATACTAAAACCAACTACCAAAACATGTGATATTTAATTCAACACATTCATCAACTTCTTATTTTAGCAAGCTTTTATTGAAAAGTAAACATCTACAAACTTTGAGTACAGATAAAATAAATCGAGGCAAAGGTTTAAGGGTAAGAAATCTTGTAAAACTAGCCGTTGACATCTAGTAGATAGGAAAATATCCTTTCAAGGCTAATGTAGCAGTTGGAAGCTCAGGTTAGTAAACCTTTAAGTTAGTATAAGCTAATATAAATACTAGTGTCCATTAGTAAAGAAGCAGATGGTTATGGTACATATAAGTAACAACCCATTCGCAAGTTTGAGTTGATATCCATAACTGCCTTATTAGCAGCATCAACTTATATGAAAAAAACTTCTCACTCCTAGGCAGTACAACATATATCTATAAAAGAACACGTAGAAAAAGATAGAATACTTATTGTAGATTCAATTGACAACACACCCAAGACCAGTAACCATGCCCAATGGTTTAAATAAAAAGGGCCAATGTAATAACATATACTAATAAGGGTACTTACCATAACCCTATAAGGATGATTACTTTTATGAGGTGTAAGCTCGGCTCCAACAGAAAAGCACTCCACACAAAGGTCATAATCTGGGCATGCCACACATTTCATGCGAATTCTCCCCGATAAATCCTTATTGCAGTAATTACAATGATATAAGGCTACTTTTCCATCCCTCGATTCCTGACCTACTAAGATATCAATTGAAGTAAAATAATGGCCAGGGAAAAAAAATACAGAAAACAGCAGAAATTACATTACTTAACCCAACTACAAAGGCCCTTTTTTCATCACCCATTGCTTGTCCTTTTATGCTAACAGCTCTAAAAAGAAACTATTGAAATTAACCAAAAAGAAAGAAAGACGGCAGTAAACACATTACTGGAAGCGCACCATGACTTTAGGATTGTGTAAAAAGTGCATCCATGAGTGAAATAAGGTAGTAAAACCTTCACTAAATCATAAATGAAAGTGCAACATGACTTTAGGGGGTTGTGTAAAAATTGCATAGACTAGTGCAATAAGGTACTACAACCTCACTAAATCATATATGAAGGATTGGACCCATTTCCCTCTCTCTCCAATGATATTAAGCAGAATACCTGTAGCTTGATTCGTAGCCTCTGTAGAACTAGGCCTTTTCCTCTTGGATTTACTGAAATTTGGATTCAGAGAAGTACAACATGAGAGCCACATACAAGAATTTTGCACCAAATAAAGGCCAACATCATATTAAGTATTAACCGAGAACATACTCTTTTGAAAAAAGAACACAGCTGCACATACGTTCAATCAAACAAGAGATTAAAAGAAAAGGAAAAGACAGAATAAGAATTTCGGTTCATCCAATATTTATACTTGCATCCCAACTGACCTTCTACACCAAAAAAAATAATAATAACAATAAAAAAGCAGTAGATTGTGAAGGAGAAATTGAAGTACGAAAATGAAAATGAACATTTCAGGATCCTACCGAAACCATGCTTTTCAGTTTAAGTGTCATTTTGAGAGTAAAGGATTAGTAATAATTTATTGTGACAGTTAAGAACTTGGCAGACTAGATTAAAAGAAGCCAGCGAGTAGCCCCTTCAACACATGTTCGGTTTCCGAAAAACTCCCTACAGATTATAATTTCATTCAGACAAATCATAAAAAAAGCTTTATGCAATTAAACAAAACGTAACCGCATTCTCAATTGCTGAAATTTCCAGCAATTTAGAATCAGATTAGCCCGAATTCATAGCAATAACACTTAAATGAAAAGCACAAACCTCTGATTGGGGTCCTCGTCTTCCGGACGTGACACCATCCGAGAACGACCCATCGATCCGAATATCAAAATTTCAGTAACAAGGTGAACGAGGGCACAAAATTGTTTTGACCTTCGTTCAGGATTCGCCTCGTGCCAGCGGAATTCGACAATCACCGGATGTGGAGGCGGCGGCGCCGCGTGAAGGATTACCGTCGGCGGGTTTTGCGAGAGTCAGGGCTGAAAGGGAACGAGAGAGACAAGAGTGTGTCTCTGTTGTAAAATTCATTTTTGGCTAAATACATGTTGGGCAATCTATATATATATAGATAGATATATATGTATGTATTGTATATACATGTTGATTTCTATGGATCTCTCTCCCAACAACCATATAGTAACATCTGACTTGTTGTGTATATATGGCAACGTGACATGAAACATTGAATAAATTAGGTTTCTTTATGTTGATTGTCGTGTCGGGATAGCCTATCCATGTCAATAATATTTGTCATGTCAGGATACATTCCTTTAAGCCCACGAGTTTTACATTTCGTCAGCATGTCTCCCAATGTTTTTTGTCACGTTACGAAAAAGATTTGTCAGTGTGTCTCCTATACATGTTTTTCTCAATAACTTTTCTACTGAAAATTACATATCGTTATCAGCCTCACAATTTTAAAACGTACTGCTAGGGAGAGGTTTTCATACTCTTATAACGAATGTATTTATTCCCACATGTGGTTTATTCCTAGAGGTTTTCACGTCCGGTAAGAAAACATTGGTTGGGGAGAAGTGTGGAAACCTTCCCCTAGCATGTTTTAAAGCCTTGAAGGGAAGCCCTGAAAAGGAAAACCCAACGAGGACAATATCCCTAGCGAAGGGTGGTGGATTGTGATGTCCCACATTGGGGACATTGGTTGGGGAGGAGAACACCCTTTATAAGGGTGTGAAAACCTTCCCCTAGAGCGTTTTAAAGCTGCCTTGAGGGGAAGCCAAAAAAAAAAAAAGTCCAAAGGGCAATATCGGCTAGCGGTGAGCCTGGGTCATCACCGGTAGATGTGAGATCTCAACTACAATCGATCCTAACAAAGACTACATAATAGTTAAGCAAGCTTAAAAACTCTAATAGTTAAAGCAAGCTTCAAAAACTCACGGATCGAGCACCCCTTTCAAAAAAGTTAAATTGTGACCTAAAATTTTGAGAAATAACTCAAAAACAACTTTAGAACTACAATTTCCAAAATAAGTTATTCAACTACGATCAAACCTAACATTTCAAGAACATCTAAACATGAAATATGATCTAATCCACCAAAGATTCGAGAAATGGCTCAAGAACAACTTTCGAAAAGTTCTAAAGATCCAACATTTTTCAAAACAAATCCATTCAACTATGATCGAACCCACAAAGAACACCGAAAGTCGAACGAGCAGAGGATACATAAGAAGCACTGTTAGAAGAGGGTTTGGAGGTTGAGATTGCCTAAGAGGAAAAGGAAGAAGAGGATTGTTCATAACACCACTTCTACTAGTACAAACAGAAGTTTCCACCATACACAGTTTAACAGTTCTATATTAAAAGCATCAAGCTCTTGCAGTTGTAGTCACTGCAGAACTAAACTAAGCATTCCCACGTCCCGGTCACCTGGAGTGGTTGGGAGGCGTTGTTTCTAGCTTCAACTTCCTCGAGACAAGCATCACTGTGCTCCTTAGCCACGCTCGGGCTACCTTCAACATCAACTGTGTCGAGGACTTCGAAGATTAGAGCACACACTTCTTGAAACCTCTCTTCTGATAGGGATACCTCGACGAGGAGCCTCCAGGCATTTTCCTCCGACGCCTCATCGTAATCCTTCTTCCTCTTCAACACCATGTGTCCGCTTATCTCCCAAACGGCCGGGTTCACTTGGGTGTCGAGGAGCTCCGCGCTCACTTCCCCAAGTGCTTGTTTCTCAGCATAGCACTGTTAATTATGATAGGTAAGGTCAGAGTTAACAAGGATACAGGAAACTAAGAGCTAGCTAATGTTGCCATCAGATAATATCAGCTTGCCTGTGGGAGAAGGAAGATACGTTGCCCACAATCAGCAATTAAGACATTGTAAGGAATGTTGTTTTCTTGAAGGCATATGCAGGCATCAGACACCGCGTTCGATAATGCTTGCAGAGTGTTTTCGCCCTCGAACACGAGCCCTCGAACGGGATATTTTAGTAGCTCAGAGACGATAACTTCATCATTCAATGAGATTGTTTTCTTCGTCGGAGCTTTCTCAATAGGGAAAGGAACAGCCAAGTAATATGCCTGATTGATTATTTAGTTCTTAATTCACATGTTCTTGTGTAAAGACTAGCTTCATCAAGTCACTTTTTCTAAAGGGTAGATAGATACCTGAAAGTGAAGGTGATTGATGGTGGCAAATGCGCCCAAGCTGTTGTACCCGAGTCGGAAGTATGTATTCCCAGCCTCCGCTGCCATGTGAAGAGCAAGCAAGAAGCTTTCTCGATCGATCCTTTGCGGCAAGCGCTCGAAAATACGAGGAATCAAGAGAACGTGTCCGTATTCAATGGGACTAACCTGTTGATGACATATTAAGAATGATCACAACACAAACATCCACAACAATTTGGTCTAAAAACACTAAAACAGGAACAAGTACACACATTAATGGCAACCATGCTTGGAGAATTTTCGACATCAAGAGGGGCATTTGGAATAAGCAGTGTATTCCCATTTTCATTTGCTTCAAACCGAAAGAGGATCTCTTCCTGCCCAACCTTAGTGAAGTTGAATTTGTTACCATCAAAAGGCTGGAGAACCTTATCAACTCGAAACTCGGTTGGCCTCTTCTTCAGATGTCGACCCTCGTTCAGCTGGGCAATGAAACCATACTTTCCAGGAATTACCTACACGAAAATTACCAAAGATATTGAGTGTCTCAGCTGAAGCTAGTAGATATTGTATCTTCGAGTCTTCCATTTCTGGGCTTCTTTCCTGGCCTCCCCTCTCAAGGTTTCCAAAACGGGCGGGCCTGCTAGGAAGAAGTCTCACACCCTTATAAAAATGTTTTCCTTCTCTTCCCCCAACCTATGTGGAATCTCACATTGATACTATATCTATATCTCAAATAGATTACTTCTATTTCACAAATTACTGTAAAATTCTAACCTTAGTCTCACAAGCAGTGACATCATAGCGAAACAGCCCTCGCTGCATCCGGTCCTCCCACTACAACAACGGGGGCATCCATTATAGCCATTGAAAGATAAGCAAAATTGATAACCAGAGCATGTCATCAAACTTACCTCCCCAAGAAGCAGCGAGTCAAGAAAAGCAAAAGGAGGAGCAGTGTTCTCATACTCGCAGCACAAGCCTTTTGAGATCTTGTTTAGCTTCTTGAAAGCATACAAGGGAATCTTGGCTCCTACAACAAAAAGGAAACGAACAATCATCATTACAGCCCCAATACCCACATGGAACGAAAACATTTCAGACCCACAAAAAAAAAAAAAAACGAATCAAGAACTCAAGAGAAGCAACCAAACGAATCCTCGCTAGCTACGCATTTTAACAAACACCTTCATAGCAACATTCATTGAGGCAGTTCCGGCCGCACCCTGCTCTGGGAGCGACTTCCTCAGCCTCATCCTTTTGGTAATTAGATACCACAGTAGGAACGCGCTTAATCCTCAACATATCGTCCGCTTCTAATTCAAATCAAACCCAACACCAAAATCGGCCCCCCAAAACAAACAAAGTCGTTGAAAAGCTAATTCGAAGAATGCTCTACGCAAGAGAATCCACCGCCGGCAAGAAAAAGAAGATCAGAAGGACTACCCCCTTCAGAGGGCAGAGCACCACGTCCACCGTGCGGCGAGGGGTTAGTAAGAGTTATACAACCCTTTCGTCGTACAGACCGGACATGAACGAACAACCGGAAAACCACGTGTATAGCCGTGATGTCTACAACTTGACGATCCCGGGTTTTACCCCCACCGGAAAATCCCCCGTATATATCGACGATCCTTCACCTTCAGAAACTCAAATCCACGCACCAGTTGCTCAAAATCGAACCTGGGAAGCTGATTTTGAAGCGAAATTTGTAGAACCCAGATCGGAAAACGGAACCGGGCGACGAAGGAGAAAAAGAAAAATGAAGAATCAACAAAGGCCAAGGTGAGTTCAACAAATGGCGGATTGAAAATGGATGAATGAAGAGTGAAAATCGGGGAGGTTGCATTTATATAGAGAGAATTGGAGACGAGAGGAAATTTTGTGGTGCAAGAAATGGCGGTTCGTTGTGGATACCGTTAAGCCATGATTCTGTGAGCCAAATTACATAAATACCCTCACTTTTCGTAGATTTTGTAATTACAAATTCGCCCCTTTTTTCCTTGTTTTTTTTATTCCAATTTGGTCCATATTCTTTTGGAAATTTTACGTGCATCCTTAATTTGTTGACTATTTTCAAGTAAGTCCTTTTTTCAACGTTATACATTTTTTAATTAATTAATACCAAAATAAAAGTATTTAATTAATATAATTATTATAACTATTTTTTAATAAATATTCCTCATTAGGTATTTTAATAGGTGAATTTGGTAAACATTTTGCCAAATTTAATTTTTATCTCAAATAAATTTTAATAAATTATTTTTCAACAACCAAAAAAATTAATAGGTTAAAAATCTTATATTTAAATTTAATTCCACGAATTTATAATAATTTTTTCAATTTTAATAAATCTTTAATTTAGTATTTAAATAATAATAATATTTTTTATGTTGAAATTTTAAAGCTAATGGAATCCCAACTTTCATTTAGAAGTATTTTACTTTTTTTAAAAAAAATTAAGAGTCAAAACAACTTTCTTGTGCAAGAAAAAAATGAGATTTAATTTTAGAATATATTTACTGTTTTTATCTCTCATTTTAAATATTTTAAAATTAGATATGAATTTTAGGACGTATGAATCATAAGATTTAAATTATTTTTTATTTATTATATAATTAATTAAAGTATATTTTTTAAAATTAAAACAATAATATATATATATATATATATATATATATATATATAATAGCTAATTTAAAGATTTTACCTAATAAAAAATATAATAATTGATTCAATATTTTAACCTAAGAAAATTATTTATCAATAATATGGATAAAAATTCTAAGAGTTATTGAGAATAGTTCTGGGTTTGTGTGTGGACCAAATGACTTTGGTTTTATCCATTTATCTATACTCGAAAAAATTGGGGTATCGGTTGGTCGGTAGACTTATACCG